TGGGCTGCTCGCGTCGTGGGGGCTGCAGAGGCGCCGCCCCTCGGAGCAGGGCTGCAGACCATGTTCCACCTCTTCTCCCACTGCTGGTCGTGGCTGCAGGCCATACAGGAGCCCGTCAGGTAGGTCCCTGTGCCGCTCCCGGGCTCCTGGGGGTGACAGTATTTACCTGTGTGTTTTGAGTGTCACCAGGGTGGTGACAGGGGAAGACAGGGGCCCGAACTGTCCCCAGAGGGCTGAGCAGGGCACACAGCAGCAGGTAGGGAAGCAGGCTGGGCAGGGATGGATGGTTCCATGGGGATCCCGGCTCGGCAGACTCAGCAGCTCCCCAGGAAAGCTGGCAGGATGAACTGAAACACACCTGCCTTGTTTGCATGTGTCAGGACATCCAGGCTAATTCCCTGGGACAGTGCTGCAAGGAGGTTTATGCTCCTCTCCCTCCAGAGAGGACACCTTACCTCACCTGCTGTAATTCTGGAGGTGGAGCCGTGCCAGCTGCACTGCTATGCCTGCTCTGTATGCTTAGGGAAGAAAATGGTATTGCAAATAGCTGTAGTGGCTTGTCAGTGGCACAGAAAGTGTTGCCTGTGTGCCTCTGGTGGACCAGGTTGCTGGAGAGTGAACAGGACAGTTCAGTAACAGGAAAAACACCTGAGTCCAGGCAGAAGTTCATAAAATCACCCTTGCAACCTTTCTCTACCTGTGTATGTTCAAAATGTACTGCAAGGAAGGTGTAATTACTGACTGCATATAAGGAAGAATCATGCTGGCCTGTCCATATAATCGCTTAACCTTTTCTGCTTTGAAAATAAATTCTTGCCATAGGAAGCACCTTGGAGGCTCTGCAGCATGGCTGTCCCATGGTGTTGGGGTGGCTCCAGGCACTTGTGCCTGTCCTCACCCTCTCCCTTGCCCCAGGGGTTGCCCCTGCACTTGTCCCCAGCTGAGCCAGAGCCTGTGTCACCGTCCTGCTCCTCTCCTGCTGAAATGTAGTGCCATGGGCAGGGTTCCCTGCCCGGGGTTGGGGGTAGGTCGCTGTCCCCAGGGAGCAGAGCCTTTCCTGGGGGGCTCAGCCGCTGTTGTTGCTCCCCAGGAAGGTCACCCTCCTTGTCATGGGGCTGGACAATGCGGGGAAAACCTCCGTCATCGCGGACATAGAGAGAGGTGAGGAGCGGCACAGAGCCAGCCCAGACGGGGCAGCAGCTCTGTGGTCCTGTGGAACCAAGGGACCGAACTCCTGAGCTCCAGGGCTGCTCTGGGCGCAGGGCCCGGCGNTGGGGCTGCTGGCACCACTAGAGGGACCAGCCTGGCTCTGGGCACGGGCTGCTCACAGCTCCGGTGGGGAACATCCTCATTCATCTGCCAGGATAACAAATTCTGCCTGAGTTTCTCACCTGGCAACAGTCACCAAGGAAACCCGAGTGGCTGTGGCTGGTCCTGCTGGCACCGCCTGGGGAGGCCCAGGGGCCCTGGCAGGGCTGTGAGGGTGGCTGCACCCTGGGTGGGTGTGGGGGCACAGGGGCAGTGCCCACTCCTAACCTGGGCACTGCCCCAGCAGAGCTCACAGCAGAGCTCACAGCAGTGTGGGCTCAGCCCTCGTGCTGCTTCCCTGGAGCTGAGTGTGGCCTTCACCAGATTTGGGGTGAAACCAAATTTTGGGTTGGATTTTGAGGTTTTCCTAGCTGTTGATCCCGTGTGTGTGCACTGGAAGGTGTGACCTGGAGCTGCCTCAGGCTCCTGGGGGGTTCCCTGTCCCCAGCTCCGGTCTCATCAGGGGTTTTGTACACTTGTTTTAAAAGCAGTGGCGCCCCAAGTGTTCAGAGATGCCTGGAAATCCACTGGTGCCAGAGGGAGAGCAGATCCTGCTGCCCCTCAGGGCTGCCTGACACATGGCCCTTCCCTATTTACAGCACCTGTGTCATGCTATAGCACATTCCTGTCCCTGCTGGGCTGTCCCTGCAGTGCCATCCCCAAACACAGAGGCAAGAGCTGACTCTTGGAGCAGATCATTCCAGCCCTCATTCAGCTAATTCTGCAAAAAGCATCGCAGCCCATGCTGGGTGTGAACCTGCCCTGCCCACTGCTCCCTGCAGCCTGCTGGCACAGGCACAGACCAACTGGGAAAGGCCACCAGGATGGGCACAGGGAGGTGCTGCCACTGCCCCGCCATCACAGCCCAGGGGTGAGCAGCCACCCCAAATATGGCACCTGGCTGTGATATCAGAACAGCAGCTTCGTCAACCATTAACCCTGCATGGCTGCCTGCCCATGGCATGGAACTGGGGCCCCTCCCTTGCCCAGGACAGGGGCTGAGCTCAAAGCAGTGTGTGGGGCTGGGGAGAGTGCAGAGCCAGGTCACAGGGGCTGAGGGAAGGGCTTGGG